GAGCTGTGAAGGGACCGACGGACAAGCAGACAGACAGATGGGGGGTGACAGGCAGAGAGGACAAACAGATGGACAGATGGACAGAGAGGAGAAAAGGATGGAGGATGGGGGAGGGGCTGCAGAGCCCATGGACCCCTTGGGCCAGGCCCGGCCCCCCGTTGGCCACCATGCGGGCAGGGCACTGCCTTCAGCCAGGGGCTCACCTCTTTCAGGCGCTCCATGTCCTTGAGGTAGAAGCCAATGTAGAAGAGGCTCAGGTAGGAATTGATGAACTGGAACTGTGGGAAGCAGGCAGTGGTCACCCCGCTGCCCCGTCCCCAGGAGTCCTGCCGTGCCCGCCTGTTGGCTGCCACTCACCAGAACAACCTTGATAATGAGGTGCTTCTCGTAGGCGCTCTCCAGCCGGTAATTCTCTGGGGGTCAAAGGGGCGAGTAAAGGGGCGGCCCGGGGTGCCTGTGGGGATTGGGGACCTTCCTCCTGGGGGCTGGGCAGCAGGGACCTCCCCTCAGAGAGCATACCCATGTCATTGAGCCAGATGGCCAGTTTCTTGTAGCCCTCTGCACTTATGCTGACCAGCAGGGCCAGCATGACCTTGGGCAGGAACCGCGCCAGACGGGGCAGCCCCTTCACACTCAGCACCAGCTCCTGCAGGGGTAGGGCGTTCATGGGTCACCCTGGCAGCTGGGCTAGGCTCAGGCTGGACCTGGGTGGGTGGTCACCAGGTCCGGGCTGGGGCTGGGGCTGGGGCTGGGGCCCCGAGATCACCTGCAACTGGAAACAGCCAAGCATCAGCAGGAACACGCAGGCCAGGCAGGCGAGGCACAAGGGAGCGCTCACACACAGCTGGAAGAGCAGCCGCTTCCAGGGCGGGTAGTAGAACTCCTCGGCCCGCGTCACCGGGCTGATGCGCCGCACACCCTGGTGGACGGCAGGGGCCAACCCGGCTTGGAGCAGAGGGGCTGCCCCCGGCGCCCCACCCTTACCCATCCTCTGAAGTCATTTTCCCTCCAGCAGGCCCTCGCTTTCCCGGTACCCCCACCTGGTGCCTCCTTCCCAGTCTCCTGAATCCAAGTTCCCACCTTTCTCCTCTGACTATGCAGAGGGTTCCCCACCCCCTCTGGCACACCCTTTCTGAGGCTGTAGCTGGATTTCACAGTCCCCGTCTTTGCTCCTACAGTGCTTCCTGCCTCCAACTCCCATTCTTGGAGTCCTTGGACCCAGCAGCTTCTGACTGACCCTGAACTGGGGTCGTGGCTCCTCCACAGCTTCCCCTGGTGAGTCCAGAGTCCCCCACTTGTAGGCCAGCTCTGCCCCCCTCCGTTTCCACTCCTCCAAGAAGAGTGTTGACCAGACCACATTGAACAGGGCGAAGACCACGCAGGATACATCCTGGCTTGTCTGAGGGGTGAGGGGAGGGGGACGGGCAAGAGGGGCAAAGAGGATTCAGCTGTTATCCAGGCTGGCCCAGGAAGGGGGCTGTCTCAGGTGCCCCAGCCCATGCCTGGCCCATGCTCAGCACCTGATCGGCTTCTGTGAACGTGTACAGGACGGAGCCGAAGACGGCTGGATAGACCATCGCCGACGTGTAGAAGCCCAGCCAGGCAAAGTACATGGCAATCTTCACACCAAAATAGTCGCAGATCTCATCTGCAGGGGTGGGCGGGTGGGAAGGGGTCCCCCGTCAGCCCTGCCCTCCTCCTGGGACTCCTGCACACCCCCTGGCCCCGGCCACACCTAGGGGCTGGTTTTCACACACAGCCTGCACCCATGACTTCATGAGGCGGTTCAGGATGCGTTGCTCATGGACCGGGAACACTTGCTGGATGATCCCTCGGGCCGCCAGCTCGGGGACTGTTGGGAGACAGGAATGGTGACCTTCTGCCTGTGCCTGGCCTGGCCACACCCCTTTGGCTGAAACCCAAGTCACGGCTTTTTGCCTGCTCTTAAACCTGCAGAGGCTCTTCCCGAGAGGTGGGGGAGGAGTTCTGGGTGGACGGAATATCTGGTGCTCCTCCAGAATTTGGGAGGTGCAGGCACAGGTGGGGAAGGGTGCAGGAAACCTAGAATGGTAGGGGGTCCCAGTGGGGAACCATGTTTTTCAATAAAGCCACCTCGGTTCATTACTCTGCATGTCTGAGGAATGGGGTGCCACGTTGGCATCAGAAGGTGAACTTGCGGCGGCTGGTTTCCTGGAGTGGAAACTGAGGCCCAGGCCACACAGCACAACGTGCCAGGGAGTGCTGTCCATGGTCCTGCCGCCGCCTTATCCCAGACCCAGAAAAGGCTCCTGCGGAACTGCCACCTGGAGGATCAGCCGCACCCTTGGCCGACGCCTGGATCCTTGAGCTCATCAGGCCCCGCCCAGCTCTCTGCTCGCCCAATTGTTGTACCTAGGCCCCGCCCTCCCGCCGCGATAGGCTGTCCTCGAAGAGACCCACCCCACGCCCCACACGTGGGAGTGGGCCCCGCCTCACTCACTGATTGGCTGGTCCTCCAGGAAACGCACGTTGTGCAGAGCCTCACCCTGCTTGGCTCGCAGGTTCTGAAGCCAGAAACGGATGATGCTCTGTCGCTCCTGCAGGGGACAGGGCGTGAGTACAGCGAGTCACGCCTGCAGACCAGGGATGTGCAGGATGTGCAGGATGTGCGCTGGGGGCTGGGCCGGCGCACCTGGGAGGTGAAGAAGCGTAGCTCACTCTCCACATTCTCGTAGATAAAGTCCTCCTCGCAGGAGAAGCCGCGGGTCCCCCCGCCAAACTCTGCCTTCACTGCTTTCCGCAGACCCAGCTCGTCGGCCCCTCGGAGGAGGCTGCAGGAAGGCAGGGGAGTGCGTCACGGGGAGACCCTGGCTCCCGGTCCTGGAGGGAGGGATGGTGCCCCTGGCGGCCGCCCGAGCCAAACACAGAACGGCCGGACCTTGTCGTTGGTGCTCGGAAGGGCAGGGAGCTGGGTGTCAGGGTCAGCGACAGGCCAGGGCCAGGGACTCGCCTCTCATACGTGGCGGTGACGAAGAAGGCATAGGCACGCGTGCGGCGGTGGTGGCGGACTTGCACGATGAGCTCGGGGATGCCCACGCGGATGTGGTTCAGCAGCCAGAGCAGCGTGTGGTCATCCGTCGTATCTGCCAAGGGTTGCAAGGACTGAGGAGTCTTGCCAGGATGGGTCCGAGGTCGCTTACAGACTCCCACTCAGGGGAGCCCGACTCAGGGAGCCCCGTCTGAGCACGGTGCGGGTGGGCACAGGTACCTGGGAAGGTCATCAGCACGTCGCAGTTCTCCGTGGGCACAGTCTTCATCCACGCCTTGTGGGACACCAGGTACCGACCGGCTTGCAAGAGCCGCTTCCCAAAAAGCTTATCTGGGGGGGGGGGGGGGCAGGCCGTCCAGGCCGTGGTCAGGCCACTTCTGGACCAGGAGCCTGGCCTCCAGCCCTTGCCCCTGCTCACACACTCACCAGGGCTCCTGGGCACTCAGCCTGGCTTTCAAGGCCCTGCAAGCTCTGGACTTGGCTTGTTTCCTTGCCTTCAAGTCCTTACACCAGCGGAACCCTCCTCCAGGAATGCCCTTCCCCCCAGACCCTCTCTTACAAATCTTACTCATTCTTGAGGCCCAGATCCGCCTCCAAAACCACAACTGATGGGGCCGCTTACTCGCAGCCCTGAGCGCTTCACCAGATTATGTCAGCGAGTCTTCACAGCTGGGCGTGATGCTTACCCCCATTTCACAGGTGGGGAAACTGAGGTCCAAAGCATGTAAATCACGCGCCCAAGGTCACACAGCGGAGCTGGGGCTCGAACCCAGAACGGTATGATTCTATATACCCTTTGCGGAGAGGAACTCTCAAGCGCAGCCCTGCCTGGCCCCGATCGGTAGCCCCAGGGGTGACGGGCGGCAGCCTCCAGTCTGGGCTCCAGGAGGGGCGTGTCCGGGTCTCTGCGCTGGGACCCCCGCCCGCTGCACTGTTCTGGTCGCGCCCGCCCTGCCGCAGCCGCAGTGCCAGGAGGGGCCGGCCCCTCGACTGAACTCCAGACCGGAGACGGCTGACCCCAATTCCCCTCCCCGTCCAGCCGCCGCGCGCAGACCAGGCACCTGCAACCCTGACCGATGCAGCCGCCGCACACCTACCCAGAACTCCGGCCGCCGGAGCTGCAGGCTCGCCCTCTGGCGGGGGCCTCTTGCCGCGCTCGCCCTCCAGGGACGTACCCCCAGTGCCAGGGGTAGCTTCGGCCATAGCGAGGGCAGCGCGGGGCAGGGCAAGTCAGCGGCCGCAGGCTGCCGGGACGCCGGGGGTCGGCGGGCACATGGGGCCGGTGCAGCCCCGGAGCGCCCCAGAGGAGGAGACAAAGGCCGCGCCCGCCCGCGCCGGCTGCGTCTCCGCGTGCCCGAACGCTGCTTCTCGTCCCCGCCCGCGCCGAGCCTGGCCTCTCCTGCTCGGCCCCGCGCACGTCGCTCTCGGATCCTCAATTCCGCCCTAGTTGTTTTCTAGGTTTCGTTCTCGCCCGCCCACCTCACGCTCTGGTGCTCGTTCCCGCCCGCACCGCACCGAAGGTGCATTCCCCTTCTTGTCCCCGCCCGCTCCAGATTCTGGGTCTCGTCCCCGCCCGCTCCAGATTCTGGGTCTCGTCTCCGCCCGCTCCGGATTCTCCTCCTGAGTTTCCCCATCCGAAGAGGCGCGTTTGGAATCTGAGATGGGAGTGATTGAACTAGAACAATACATTAAGCGGGGGAGGCCTGGTCTGGGGAGATTCCGGGTAACAATAACTAATAACTACCACAGCAGGAATGTGAATAATTATAGCAGGTCCTGTCTCCGCCCTCAGCCCTGCCCTAGAACACTGCCAGGACGTCCTTCACCCCCTCTTCCTTCAGTCCACGCGTGCATCCATCAGGATGTAACCGTCTCGGGAAGGACTGGATCGAGTTGCCAGCTTAGCAAATAAAAACACAGTCCTCCCAGTTAGTTAGATATGTTTTCCTAAAAAATCAAAGGCCTTTCAAAGTGAGAAGCTAAAAGCATTTATTTGAGATCAATAAGAATAGCTATTTGGGATGGGCTGATTAGGGCAGAAGTCCAAACAGTGTTGCAATTAGGAGACGAAGGCAATGGGTATTGATGAGAAAGAGAAGGCGAACAATGACATCGTCAGCAGGAAGGCGTTTCTATTGGTGCAGAGAACAGTGATGTTAACTCTAAACAATGTTTTTAAAATTGCAGCCCGGCAGTCATAATACCTTCCTTATCTTTGCAAATAGTTCTTCAGAAATACGTTTGCTTAGACCCAGCCCAAAGGTCTGAGGCGTAAGACATGCAAAGCAGTTCCTTTGGGCTGGCGGCTTCTGCTCCATTTTATTTATTTTTCCCTCTTTAAATTATATATTTCAGAGAGGACGGGAAGGAGAAGCATCAGTGATAAGAGAGTCATCCATCAGCTGTCCGCTGTCTCCTGCGCGCCCCTATGGGAACCCAACCTGCACCTGCACCGCGGGGATGTGCCCTGCCTGGGACCTCCTGGTTCATAGGTTAACACCCAGCCACTGAGAAACACCAGCCGGGCTTTTGTCTTTTTGTTTGTTTTAGTTTAATTTTTTTTTTAAATTTTTGTTTGCTTTCTTCCTTTTTTTCTGCTCCATTTTAAAGTGACTCCGTTTATATTACTTTTTTTTTTTTTTAATTGATGGAGAGGAAGGAACGTCCATTTGCTGTTCCACTCATTTATGCATTCATTGGTGGCTTCTTGTTATATGCGCTGACCAGGAATAAAACCCACAACCTTGGACTAGGGGGGCAAGGCTCCAACCAACTGGGTTACCAGGCCAGAGCAGTTTATATTACTTTTCACAAATGTGAGTTTCAGATAAACGAATAGATCTTTAGTAGGTCCCAAATATTACATGGGACACAGCATTATTCATTGTTTATCTGGAATTCACATTTAACTGGGCGTCCTGTATGGTGCCTGGCACCCAGACTCCTGCCCATCCTGAGTTGCCTCCTCCCTTAGAGAGAGCCCAGCGAGGGCAGGTGCCCGTTCTGGTTCTCAGAATGCACACAGTAGACGCTTGATGTATACTTGTGACAGATGGAGCAGCTCAGAGACAGCGAATGCATTGTTAGTCCCTTTTCTACAAAGTTAAAAGCTGAGCAGGGCGGGGCGTGGGAGAAAAGAGAACTCAAGCCTTTCCGACCGATTCTTTCCCAAATGCAGGTGCTCTGCCCGCCCGCTCCATCCAAGAACCGAAGAATTGGCCATGAGAAAGCGTCCCCGAGACCCCGCCCAGCCAGTGCCTGGAATTCCACCGTCAGCTCTTCCTTCTGCTACGATCCCACGTTCTCCTAAGTTAACCTGAAAGTAATCGCGAGACTCACGTTTCTGGCTTTCGATGGGGGAGGAAGGGGCGCGGGTCCCGAGGCAGACGACATTCAGCTCTGCAGGAGCAGGCCGGGGCCAGGGGAGAGAGGGCTGTGCTGGGGGTTCCGGGAGGCGGCCTTGGAGCCAGGCCCGGAGGATGCATTTGGCAATTGAGGAAGGACATTGGAGGCCGAGGGAGCGGCGGGAGAGAAAGCTGGGAAGGGATGCAAACCTGGAGAGCCCCGGGAAAACAAGTGGGCATCTTCCCAGAAGATTTGCCCAGCGCCGGGACTGTCCCCCTGGGCCTCTGAAATGCTCTTGCTTCACCTAATGCTACGGAGTAGCTCGAGAGAGAAACGGGACTCGAACTCTCACCTCTGTCATTCCTACCGCTCAGCGCCCGCGTTCCTCCCACCCCTCCTTTCTGGCATTTCGGATGCCCGCAGCTCTAGGATCTTAAAAATTCCGTCTAGTGTTGCCAGGGGAAACGATTTCGCTGCAACCCCACGTGGAGGCCCTGCCTCTTTCCCAGGCACCAGCCAATAGAAACGCAGATCTTCAGTGGGTTGGCCGGTCCGTCTTTTGAGGGGCCCAATGGCAGCCGCGAATCCTCGAGCACTTGACCATCCAGCTGCCGAGTGGGCGGGGCCTCCCGTCCGGACTCGCAACCTCTGGGCTGGGCAGGCGGGCCGGTCGCTGCTGGGAATCCATGTGGCGGGGGCTCTGGACGCTGGTAGCCCGGGCGGCACGTGGGCCTTGCAGGTGGGATGGCCGGGGAAGGGGTGTGTCAGCGTGGGGCGTCGCTTGGGCTACAAGTCCTCTCCGTGGGGCTTGGGGGCGCTCAGTTCCCCGCGGCAGAGCCGAGCTTTCGAGTTCTTCCAAGCCCCCATCTACTCCGCCTCCTGCCGCAGTCCCCCGGCCTCAGGGTCCTCAATCCGGTCACCCTCTGGCCCCAGGCCCTCCGGTCTCCACCCCCCCAGCCGCAGAGGCTGCTTGCACTTGGGGCACTTCTCCACCGTCGAACCCTCGATCCACCTGCCTGCTCTGCGGCAGAGCCTCCACGATGCACTGTCTCTCTCCTCTCCTGTCCCAGACCGTGCGCGCGCCAGGGCAGCGGCGCCCCGGCTCCTGGGTCCGGGGCCACCATCTTCGCGCTGAGCTCTGGCCAAGGCCGCTGTGGCATCGCCGTGATCCGGACCAGCGGCCCTGCCAGCGGGCACGCCCTCCGCAGCTTGACTGCACCCCGGGAGCTGCCCCGCGCCCGCAGCGCCAGCCTGCGCCTGCTCACCGACCCCCGCTCCGGGGAGCCGCTGGACCGCGCCTTAGTGCTCTGGTTCCCAGGTGAGCGCCTTCAGACCCCGAGCCTGCTGGAGCTCCCAGGACCCGGTAGACCATCTCAAGCGGTTGCCCAGCCTATGCCCTTCCCTCCTCACCACACCAGGTCCCCACAGTTTCACGGGTGAGGACTGTGCGGAGTTCCACGTGCATGGAGGCCCGGCAGTGGTGAGTGGCGTCCTGCAGGCCCTGGGTGAGTCTACAGCCTGGGGTTCGAGGTCTGGCCCGGCCAGTGGGCCTGGGTGGGGGCCAGGGTCTCAGCACCCGGGGCCGTCCCGCAGGCAGGGTGCCAGGGCTGCGGCCTGCGGAGGCGGGTGAGTTCACCAGACGGGCCTTTGCCCACGGGAAGCTGAGCTTGACGGAGGTGGAGGGGCTGGCGGATCTGATCCATGCGGAGACGGAGGCGCAGCGGCGGCAGGCCCTGAGGCAGCTGGACGGGGAGCTGGGTCAGCTCTGCGGTGGCTGGGCAGAGACCCTCACTAAGGCAAGTCCCCGTTTGCCCATCCTCTGCCTCGGAGACCCCCATCTGCCCATCCCCTGCATGAGAGCATCTGGTCTATGAACCTCCAACCTGATCCCCCAAGTCAGGCTGGACCTGGGCAAATTGGGGGGCTAGGGGGTGGGTTCCTGGGTGATAACACCACATACCTCCCCTCCCCCAGGCTCTGGCCCATGTGGAGGCCTATATCGACTTTGGGGAGGATGACAACCTGGAGGAGGGCATCCTGGAGCAAGGTGTGTTGGCCTGGGGGTCACGGCTGGGGACACCTGCATTTCAGCCCCTAGAAGCCCCCTCCCTCCCTCCTCTCTTTCTTTCGTGCACAGCTGACAGCCAAGTGCGAGAGCTCGAAGTGGCACTGGACACACATCTGCGAGATGCTAGGCGCGGGCAGCGGCTGCGCTCAGGAGCGCACGTGGTGGTCACGGGACCCCCCAACGCGGGCAAGAGCAGCCTAGTAAACCTACTCAGTGCGTGGGAGGTGGGCCGGGGGCGGGCCTGAGCTGCTGCGGTGTGGGGAAGGGCCAGGGAGGACGAAAGCTCTCGTCTGCCAGGGACTGGAGCTGCGAGAGGGGCTCCCTTGTTTTCACTGACTCCCGCCCCTTTCTCTGACCCCCTTCCCCTCCCCAGGCCGGAAGCCAGTGTCCATCGTGTCCCCAGAGCCGGGGACCACCCGTGACGTGCTGGAGACCCCTGTCGACCTGGCCGGGTTCCCAGCGCTGCTGAGCGACACGGCAGGGTTGCGGGAGGGTCAGGGGCCGGTGGAGCAGGAGGGTGTGCGGCGCGCCCGAGAGAGGTGGGTGGGCGGGCAGACAGGGTGGTGGGAGAGGGAAATGTGCCCCTTCCTGTCCCTGTTGTATTTATTATTCTTTCTTCTTCAATCAGAGATTTAACTGGGGACTCTGTGATTTGGGGAGAGCAGCCCTTAGATTTTGGCTCTGCCCACATGTTCGGCTCCACCCCGACACTCAGCCCCACCCCTACCCCCAATGCTCTGCCCCGCCCCCACACTCAGCCCAGTTCCCGAAATTGCTCTACTCTGGGGTCACTTCTCAGCTGATTCTCCCTGCTCCTCCAGGCTGGAGCAGGCTGACCTCATCCTGGCCGTGCTCGACGCCTCTGACCTGGCCTCTCCATCCAGCTGCAACTTCCTGGACACGGTTGTCACCCCCGCGGTAGCTCGGAGCCCCAATGGGAACAGCCAGCGCCTCTTGCTGGTGCTGAACAAGTCGGACCTGCTGCCCCCTGGGGGTCCAGACCTCAGCCCTGAGCTGCCCCCCCACCTGCTGCTGTCCTGCCTGACCGGGGAGGGGCTGGACGGCCTCCTGGAGGCATTGAGGAAGGAGCTGGCTATAGTGTGAGCCTCACCTTGCCCACTCCACAGCCTCTACCCAAGTTCAAGTGGGGGCTGAGCCACGGCTCTGGGCACATGCCTGCCTCAGTTCTGTCTCTGCAGAATGAGTATGCTCATCCCCCTTTGGGCCATGGGTATAAAGCTAAGAGAGACCATGTTCTCTGTCCCTTGCAGGTGTGGGAACCCATCCACAGGCCCACCACTTCTGACGCGGGCAAGGCACCAACATCACCTCCAGGGTTGCCTGGATGCCCTTGGCCGCTACAAGCAAGCTACAGATGTGGCCCTGGCCGCCGAGGCGCTGCGCGTCGCCCGGGGACACCTGGCCCGCCTCCACGGTGGAGGGGGCACCGAGGAGATCCTGGACATCATCTTCCGGGACTTCTGCGTGGGCAAATGAGGGGACCGCTGAAGCTTGAGCCAGGCTGGATGGACACCCAGAGCCTGGAGACGCCTGGGAATAGCTCAGGCCAAGCGAGGTTTTCATTTCCTTGGGGAAGGCCTTGACCGCAAAACACGAGTGAGCTCCCTATTGCTGATGGTGACCACGCTCTAGCTGGCCAGGTTCCCCCACGGGGACTTGCTGGGGTTCAGGCCCTCGAGTGGGGCCGAGCAGAGGTCCCTTTGGGCACCTGATCCTGCGGGAGTAGCCGTGAGGGTTGGGAGGGAGTTAGGAGAGTCTCAGGGGTCTGTTTTTCGTAGTTTTAATGTATTTTGTAAATACCAAAGGAAAAAAAATCTCAGGTGATCCGGAAACGTGGAAACCCTCCCCCCACTGCCACTGGTGTCACAGCATAACTTATGTCCTTCTAGAACTTTCTTTGAGTGTTTGTATACTTGTGAGTGCGCCTGTAAAATATGTTTTATCTTGTGTATTCTGCAAACTTTGTGTGTTTATTGCTCTGCGGGTTATCATTCCTTTTTTAATATTAATCTTGCAACTTTGTCTCTTGTATCTTAAAAGTGACTTGCAAAATCCTGGGGGCCCTACTTCCTTTCCAAGATTATTAGTTTCCATCGATTGATTGATTCATTCCTTTACTCATTTAGCGAATATTTACCAAGTACCCTCTATGGATAGAATTGTGCACATCCTTTTCCTGGATCTTCATAAAGCACACTGCAGCGGGCGGTTCTAAAGACGAGGAAACAGACTCGGGGTAGTAGTTGGTGGTGGAGGTCCCAGCTTTGGGATTTGCACATAGGTCTGTTCGACTCAGTTCACTGTGGGCCTTCTGTGCCACAGGCCGAGTGCAGGGTGCTGGGAACGTGGACAGAAGCAAGCAAGCATCGCCTCTCCCCTCGTTAGAGATCTAGCTCCTTCCAGTGAGGCCTGATGGCTGCCGTGTGAATTTACAATGAGGGGTGCCCTGGTTAGGGACCTGTGGGGTGAGTTCCAGGCCTTTTATTCTGGGGCTTTAGGAGGGCCTGCTATGGCGCAGACAAGCCAGCAGAGGGCGCCTTGCTCTAACAAGGAGGTGCCTGGCAGTCCTCCGCCAGAGCCAGAGTTCCAGCCCCCTAGGTTCTAGGGATTCGGGCTTCTACACCCATCTGGCGGTTTACGGATAGTTAACTCTCCCTGCCAGAGGCGGAAACTGAGTCTCCAATAGGGTCAGGATCTTTTCCAGAATCGGAGAAAGACCTCCACCTCCAGCAGTTGACACAATCGCTCAGATTCCAGGGGACAGGTGAGCAGAGCCTGGGAGCTGTCCAGGGCCCGCCCACAAAGGGCATGAGAGGGTCTTTAGGAGGCTCCCATGTCCTCGCGGACTTCATTGCAATATGTCATTATTTACTGATTTCTTTGCTTATGCAGCAGCTGGGATCGCCCCTGAATGGGGTGCTTCTGGATGGAAAGGGTTACTGAGAGCTGAGTCCATGGATACTACGCTTTTTTTTTCAGAAAAGCAATTGATGCCCAGAGAAGAAAAGCAATGATGTCGGTCCAGTGGGGGTAGTCGTCCAGATGTCACGCATGGGGAGGGTCTGGGGGCTCCCAGGAAGGGTGGGCGTGGTCCAGGAGGGGCGGAGACGCTCGGGGCAGGATGCCTGAGCCCCCGCCGGCCTCCCCCTAGGCCAGTGATGGCGAACCTATGACACCTCTGACACTCAAACTCATTTTTTTTGGCTGATTTTTCTTTGTTAAATGGCATTTAAATATATAAAATAAATATCAAAAATATAAGTCTTTGTTTTACTATGGTTGCAAATATCAAGACACTTCTCTACATGACACGGCACCAGAGTTAAGTTAGGGTTTTTCAAAATGCTGACACGCCGAGCTCAAAAGGTTCACCATCACTGCCCTAGGCCCTGGCACAGGGCTGGACCAAGGTCCTTGGCTACTGTCCATTTTTTCCAAGAAGGGTGAGGTGGTTTGTGGGAAGCAGCCATGGGGGTTATTTATAGAGGCCACAGGAAATCCCCAAAGAGTCAGAACCTCACCCAGCGGCTGGACCCCAGGGTCAGGGAGGGGGTCTGCCAATTGCTCCCAACTGGTACTCGGTCCCTGCCCCTCCCCAGGGAGCCACCAAGCCTGGGTGAGTCAGAGCTACAGGATCAGAGCCAGGAAGAGAGGGATGGGCCGGGGCAGCCCCAGGGGACGGGAGGGCTGCCCCTGGGGCACCCAGGAGAGCTGCCTGGAGGTGGAACCTCGGGGGGCGGGGGGGGGGGGGAGGTGGGCCTTGGAGGAAAAAGGATTTGTCAGGCAAGAAAAGGCATTCCAGTCTGAGGGTACAGCGCACATTACAACGAAGAGTGGGCGAGTCTAGTCAGAGAACTAAATGTGCAGGGCAGCTGGAGGCCAGGGCTCATTGCACAAGGGGGAAGGGGCACGAGAGAGCCGAGGAGCTGGACTTGGTGCTCAGGGTAATGGGGAGCCATGGAGGGTGTAAGGAGAGGGGTGTGGTCAGATCCCAGATGGAAAGATCTCTCTGGACCAGCCCGGGGCCGTAACGGAGGCAGCAGCTGAGGTCCAGGTGTTGGAGGACTGAGCCAGGGGTGGTATGGGGACTGGTGGGAGGGGTGACATCCTGGGGTGCTCTGAGTGGGAGAGACCTGCCACGCGTTACAGACCTGGACCCAAGTGTCCCGAGAGTTTAGAACGATGACATCGCACTCATTTCTCAGATGAGAAAGTGGAGGCTGAGGTGGACTGAGCCAAAATTTGGATCAGGGACATCTGGCTCCAGAACCCAACTCTTACGGTTGCTGGGACTGGCCGGCGTCAGCAGGCCACGACTTCGGGCTGCTCAGGCGGTAGACTCGGGGTCACGGATGTCCCGCTTCCTTGGAGCCTCCAGACCGGTCTGTCTGGGCGGCCTGGCCTGGCTCACCCCCTGCCCTGACTTGGCCGGGCGGGTTGGGGGGCAGCCGAGTGTTTCCTGCAGCAGCGGTCTCTCTCACCCGCGCTTCCGCATCCAGGAAGTATCGCTCCTTTGTCCGTCCAGACGTGCCTGCCCTAAGCGTGTGCTCAGCCCTGGCTCCTCATGACTCATCCCCCCTCCCTGTCCTGGGTCCCAGGGGATGGGCTGGGAGGGAATCAAGGAGGGGGGAGGGGCGGGTACCAGCTGAGATTCTAGATCACAATTTTAGATTGTTTTTCTGTCAGTGGCATTTGCTTTCCCCCCACCCTCCCCTCCAGCCCACCTTGGAGTCTTTACATTTCAGAGATAAGACCCCAGGAATAGGGTAACTGAGCCAAAGGGTGGGTGCATCTTTACTTTGATTAAATATCGCCACACTGCCCTGGCCCGTTTGGCTCAGTGGATAGAGCGGACTGAAGGGTCCCAGGCTGGTTTCCAGTCAAGGGCACATGCCCGGCTTACGGGCTCGATCCCCAGTAGGGGGCGTGCAGGAGGCAGCCAATCCATGATTCTCTCTCATCATGGATGTTTCTCTCTCCCTTTCCCTTCCTCTCTGAAATCAATAATCTATATCTATATATCTATATAATCTATATCTATATCTATATCTTTATCTATATCTATATCTATCATCTCGCCACCCTAATTTCCAGAAGGACTATGGCGATGTTTTCATTCCTATCAGTCCCGAAAGAAATGCCCTTTCTTTCCGTCTTCACGAGCAGTCGGTGTTATGGCCTTTAACCGTTCCCAGTCTCCTGGACACAGTGTGACTTCCCTGTGTCTCTGCTGTGTTTGCCCCGCTGCCGGCTAGCTTGGCGATCACGGCGTGGCAGTGCTCCCAAAGCAGGCTGCTGTCCTTTCTGGCATCCCCTCTCACCACAAACAACAAAACAAAACAAAACAAATGGCCTGAGACTTTTGTGATTTTGTTCCTGGAATAATTTTGGCAGGGAGGAGTTCCTGCGATTCAGGACAGGCGGTGGCCACCTCTGCGGAGCATTATCATCAAGACTTGGGGGAATCTTTGCAAATGTAGAAAGATGAAAGCTACAAAGCGGTAATCTGCATGGTAAGAAACTGCCTGGGAGAGACACAAAATCAGCCCGGCTGGTGTGGCTCAGTGGTTGAGTGTTGACCCACGAACCAGGAGGTTACAGTGCCATCCTGGGTCAGGGCACATGCCCGCGTTGCTGGCTCAGTCCCTGGTGGGGCGTGCAGGAGGCAGCCTGGTCAATGATTCTCTCTCATCAGCGTTTCTCTCTCTCCCTTTCCCTTCTCTCTCTGAAATCAATAAAAACATATTAAAAAAAAGTAGCTTCTCTTAAAAAAACAAAACAACAGCAGCAAAATTGACAACAATTCTGTGTCTTCCCACAGAGACGCCCAGACCTTGCGGGGAGCTGGTGCACCCCATGTTATTCCTGGTTGAAGCTCTTCTGGCCCAGGGTGGTTGGGGTGGGAGTTTTCCAGCGTTTGTCTTCGTTCCGGTCTTCTTGCTCAAGGCCAGGTGGTGCCTTTTATTTATTTATTTACTTATTTATTTTTAAATATGTTTGTGGGTTTTTAAAAAATATATATTTTATTGATTTTTTACAGAGAGGAAGGGAGAGGGATAGAGAGTTAGAAACATCGATCAGCCGCCTCCTGCACACTCCCCACTGGGGATGTGCCCGCAATCAAGGTACACGCCCTTGACCGGAATTGAACCTGGGACCTTTCAGTCTGCAGGCCGACGCTCTATCCACTGAGCCAAACCGGTTACGGCCAGGTGGTGCCTTTTAAAGTATAAATCACGACTCTGGTGTCTTTGAAGGGATTGCTAAGGTTTATTGGGTGCCACTAACATTGCAGAGGGACCACAGGCGGGGCCGGGTCTGGGGGAGAGGGAGTGACAGAGCAGTGCCCTTGCCAGCGAGGAGGATGCCTGTGGGCTGTGTTTGCCCTCGGACCAGATGCTGCCTGGCGTGCGAGGAGGGCCCGGAAACTCCCACGGATGGAGGTGATGCTTCCTGTTCTCCCGTCCCAGGCCTGAAGGCCTGCGGTGAGGAAGCGTGGGGGAGATAAGGCATCGGACGAGTGGCAGGGGCACGGGAAGCGCTGTGAGGGGTGCTGTGGGTGCCTTGGCCTGTGTGTCGAGGGGTGTGATAGCGGGGAAGGGTTTGGCAGGAGTGTCTGGGTAAGGTCACGCTGTCTGTACGACATCATCACCATGTCTGTGGTTGGAGGGTTGTGTTGTGTGGTTGTGGGCCTGTGAGAGTATTAGGGGCCCTGGGTGGGATGTGCAGAGGGTGCGGGCCAAGGGTGCCCACTGTGGTGTGTTTGCATGGAGGTCGCCTGACTGTGTCCCACGCGGTGGGTGTCTCGCTGCCACAGGTCTGCAGACCGGCAAGTCGGGACCAGCCTTCGGTCCTCTTCCCGGAGCCTTCTCAGCCACTGGGGCAGAAAGGAGATGGGAATGCAACAGTTCATCAGTCAGACAGAAGGACAGACATGGTGGGGGCCTGCCCCTATCCTAGCCCCTTGTTGCTACTGGGGACTCTTTAGCGCCTTTGGGGTTCATCCTTCCCAGTAGATTCCC